AAAAAGAGCATGGAAGATTCAGATGACTTGCCAGCCAAACCAAAACTGGATGCTCCCAGAAAGAGCATGGAAGATTCAGATGACTTGCCAGCCGAACCAAAACTAGATGCCCCCAAAAGACGCATGGAAGATTCAGATGACTTGCCAGCTGAACCAAAACTGGATGCCCTAAAAAGACGCATGGAAGATTCAGATGACTTGCCAGCCGAAACAAAACTGGATGCCCCCAAAAGACCCATAGAAGATTCCGATGACTTGCCAGCCGAACCAAAACTGGATGCCCCCAAAAGACGCATGGAAGATTCTGATGACTTGCCAGCCAAACCAAAACTGGATGCCCCCAAAAGACGCATAGAAGATTTGGATGACTTGCCAGCCAAACCAAATGTTCCAGAACTGGATGTACCTGAAATAGACATGATATTGAACGCCCCGGAAGAGGAGGAAGATCTGTTTGACCTGCCAGCAATAATGAAATGAACAAGACTCAGAATATCAATTTAACTACGAAGCTAAACATATTGATGCTTGATGCTACTGCACTTTCGTAAATTTACAATTGGTAATTTATAATAGTTATTGACTATTTATAAGCTAATGGCTATTCGCGTTCCCTTTGTACGCTTATTTTTCATTTCGTTATTTTTATGTTATTATATCAGTGATACATTATCAATATTAGAGATAATCGACCATATTAACTTATAGTTTTTGGGAAAAAATTTTGTTGCGCTGTTACACTATGATAATGTTCCAATTGTTTTGTATTTTGTATAACAAAAAGCGTTGAAGTAAATAATTTCAAACAAACTCTGTAAGATTTGTCTCCCTTCTTCCGTGTTAAGGTCCTGTTACACGTTGAAACGGCTTTAGCTGAAAATTATGTGCTACAGCGTTGTTAGACAAGTTTACAGTTTCGRTTGCACGAGTAGAACGGCTTTCTCCTCTTGCGACCGAATTTTAGAACGAAATTGCGCCGTGCAACACTCCCATGAGTCCCGTCTCTCGACGCCGTTGCGCACAAGTTTCAAGTGTAACCGGGCCTACTATAATTGTCCTACTTCTCTCTGCTCAAAATAATTTCTGAAAGTTTTTTTGTAATTCTATATCTTTCGGTTACACCAACGTTATGATAAGCAGCACTTTTTTTGACCGATGCTAAAAAGATAAGTAGAAGTTCAAAAAGTTTGATATGTTACAACAAACTTTGTTTGTGTTAGAAAATGTGCCAAATTCTGAAATCTATAACCATTCCAAATGCGTGAAAACGCTTAGCAGTATCAAAAGAAAATTTTTACTTCGTACGTAGCATGTAAAATTATTTTATTTCCAGTCTTTTTACATTTCACCCAGGTAAAAATTACATCTCTACCCATGTTAACACAACCGAAGAAGTTCCTGCCTTGTGAACAAAATTTAACATTTTCTACTAATGCTCTAAACTATGTTTTTCGTGTCATCAATTGAGCTGTCCTACAATGTTATTTGAATATTTAATAAAATATCTTTCTATTCGATTGGTTTATCATATGCTCAAATGCCTGACAATATAAGCAATATTGATGCCATATATACAAAAATAATTGCAAACGTTTGCAATACTTTCTAGAAAAGCTATGAAATATCAAAGTCAAGAAGACCGTTAGCAAGGTATGTAGTGGGAAACCATGGTAAAAGATCATGTCGTGCATTGCGTGCAAGCCATATGATGGCGCTAAAATCAGCGCAATAAAGTAAGATTGGTCAACTACGTTACATCCGCTACCGCTATCACTACCCCGTTTGCCTTCGTTTGCTTTTTTTTTTCAATTTTGTAAAATGTAAGAGCACTATCATAAAAATAATGGAGATAAAGCACCAAGATAGCAAGGTAACTTATATATAAGCTAGGTTTCAAGCACTTGCGTTTCTCCTCCCCTTCATCCCCCCTTACTCGACCAAGAGATTGACGGCTAGTATAGCCCTTACAGAAGGTCCCACATTCGACTGAAGCTTTTTAAAGCTTTCTTAAAGCACTGTATTTCTACCTCCCTGTCCCCTAACAAACGACCGAGGGCTAGCCATGAGGGATATTATCCTGGCAGAGGGTCTCACATTAGACTGAAGCTTTAAGAACTGTATTTCTACCTACCTGTCCCCTAACAAACGACCGAGGGCTAGCCATGAGAGATATATTATCCTGGCAGAGGGTCTCACATTAGACTGAAGCTTTTAGAACTGTATTTCTACCTACCTGTCCCCTAACAAATGATGACGGGCTAGCCATGAGGTATATTACCCTGACAGAGGGTTTTATATTCGATTGAAGCCAGTAAGACTCTGAAAGTGGTTTCTGTAAAAGTGGATGKTGTAACTATACCACTATACTGAGCTAATCGTTACTAAATTGCCTTTAAACTGAAGAATGTGGAACCCATATGGTCTTCTTCTGTTGTTCCGCAGCAGCTTCCTGTATTGCTGTACAGATATTACTGATAGAGTTACCATGCACAATTCCTAGAAAATAATATCATATTTTTAGTACTCTTTAAGGTGACTTGATGAGGTAAAGGCTACAAAAATGTAGATGAATACTGCTCTACGCTTGGTCAATGCGTAAAACGAGATACGTTTTTTACAATATACGTTAGCAATGTTAAGCCGACTTGAGGGCAAGTGGTTTTCCATTTCGGACCAATTAACCAATACTTCTTCTTACAAAGGTTACAGCAATACCGGTAAACTACAACCGATGAACAAAATACATGGTCTGTCAATAATCCACAAGATATTAAAAACAGGGGGGGGGGGGGGGGGGGGGGGGGAGAGAATCATCAGACACGATGCTAATGATATCGAAAACACTTGCGCATGCTCCCTTACCGTTAAATATGTGTTTGTAGTCTTTCTCCAAGCGTTGAGCATTCTCAAAAATTTCCTTTGCATCTTTGCTGATTATTTTTTCTGGAATGTATTTGCTGTCCCTCATCTCTCTGTTAGAAAATACATTAACGTTGTTAAATTTGATCTTTATTTGCCTGGCTACTAGCAAATACTTATCAAGTTTTTGTAGACTTTTATTACTATAAGCAAAAATTCTTCTTTTTTATCCAGGCCGTAAAAATCTCCATGAGCACAATTTCTTTGTTTACCGATTACGTAGGAAAAGGTACATTGGCGTTGATGAAATCGGATATTCATATTCTTAAAGGGGTGACACAAAAAAAATAACGCCCTAGGTTTCATATTCTTTTCTCCATGTTTCGGCATTCTTTTGATAATTCGTGGGAAAGAAAATCATAAAAGGATGCCGACACGTGAAGAATGGAAAAGCAATACTAAAGGTTTGATATTTGTGTGCGGAATCGCTGACATCTGGTAGCGTGACCGTGGCGTGTTTTTTTTTYCTTTCTTTTTTTTGTCTCGGTTCGGCAGTTCGCTGGCATACGTAGTATTTCAATTTATCTATTTCTTATCATTATTGTTTTTAAAGATGAAAATGGAAATTAGAAACGGGCATCTGGTGGCAAGTCATGTATGAAAACCAGGGAATAAAATTAACGGCAACTGCAACTGGCTCACTACGATAGAGTATGCAACTGTATTTAAAAAGTACTTACTTGATGTGCTTGTATGACTTGAATTTGATATAGAGTACGATAGGATAAACCTGTAGTGTGTTCAACCTCTCTATCGCTTGAGGACTGACCACCAGAAGAGGGTGCTGGAAAACGATAACATAACAGTAATTTACGATAAATAGACCTTAGTCGTTATGTTTTTCGATTTCAGAAGGTATGTGATCTCCTTGAGTATTATCCCAGGTACAGTTGCTACAGCTCTGAACACATTTTGTTTAAGGTTCGCTCTCCTTTCAACAGGCCTGCCAGAAGCCAAAAGTGCAGGTCAAATAAAAAATAAAAAGACAGGGAAAATTTTTTCTCCACCAAAATTATTTATCCTGCTTAAACTAAAAAAACTGTCTGTTCCTTTTTTATTTTCTTTTTTGAGCCCTGTTTTTATCATGAGCCACTGACACATTGAAGTTTCCCCGACCCGAACCACTTCCCGAATGGTGTCATGTTCTAGCGAGTGAACTGAAACTATCCATATACACTTATTTCAATAAAGTTAGTCACCTGAAAAGCTGCAAAGCTGAGTCCGGCAAGGATTATGGGTAGATACATTTTACATGTTTCAACCGCTTGATAACTATTGATAGACCTGAGATCTTTTACCCGTTACAGTCTTACCTTCTCTGAGCATCCTCAACTGCTGCAGTTTGTGTCAAAGCTTTACTTGTTGGATATGAAATATTTCCCATGAYTCTCGGCGATCACAGCTTTCTATCTTTTTGGTGACTAACTTTATTGAAATAAGTATATAGTATTTTACCTTATCGATGACTTTCTTTATCGATGTTAACGTTGTACATGCCAGTTGACCTCCTTTCCAAGAGTAATCTATAAATGTACCCTCTGCAATGCTCTTGTCGATTTTTTCATCTGTAAGGTTCACGAACTCTGAAAATATACGAGTCACTTTATAAGTTAACAATAGTGCGGCAATAGCCCATTTTCGTTAAATACCGCTGTATTTTATGACTAAAGACTCATCTGCACAGACCTAGCCTCACTTAACAGTAGATCTATAGCAAAAGTCTGTCGTTATATAAAAAAAGGGCAGCTTGAACCATACCAATGTCTTGAAATATCATGGACTTTTATTGGTATCAGTGAATAGCTGACTTATAAACGAGGCTAAGCCTGTGCAAATGAGCCAGTGGTCTTCAAAAACAAAGGTATGCATTGAATGCAGCTGAAAAATTTAAATGCGAAACTGGTGTATTGTAATCTGATTGCGAATGTAAAAAGGTGTATGCAGTGATCTTGTTCTACTGTTACAATCAAGAAGTCATTTGCTTTTATTAAGTTTAAAACCTTCTTTGTCACATCTTGACGAGAGCAACTGAGGAACATTTTGTGTGAAGCAGATTATACAGTGACACTGTACTAAGCAGACAAGGTGTCCGCTTTTCTATTAAAATAGAGGTTCAATAGAGGTAACACTGTCTTAATTTTACTCGGCCCACGAAGCAAATCATTCACTATGACAAGCTTGCTTCCCATGGTAGGTCATTATGGTACAAGGAAAATGTACACATAATTTACTAAGTGAATATATCAGGAAAAAGTATGAGTAATGCATTTCCATTTACCTGATTTACAATATACAAATTTGTAGGGGAAATCATCAGCAAGTTTTTCACAAAGCACTTCCGCAAGTGGTCCGAAGAGAATAACAACACGAGGAATATGCGCTGAAAGAAATAGTGGACTTGAATTAGCAACATAATTGGAAAAACAAATTGATGACCATTATATAATTGGGGGGTGGGGGGGAAGGGGGTGTAGCAATTTATGTTGCACGATTGTTTTTGCAAGAACCCCTGCACAAATTTTATTGTCTTTGCTCGACAATTTCTTTACTGCAAAGAGAGAGGTTAAGCGGTTATTTTTTCGTAGGTTAAATGGTTGCCAAGTTATTATTAGTTAATTGTAATTTGTAAATTAATTCTGAAAAGCCCCACGGGGAGAATTAATAATAAGTATTGTATTGTATTATTGTTGCCCCATTTCATTTTTGAGGAGCGGGGATTCACGCAACCCCCTTCCCAATTATCTAATGGTCCGTCCCTAAGGTCAAGCGCACAAGCAGTGGCTACTACTTTAAAAGAGCCGTGGTGGCGCAGTGTTTGGAGCTTCGCGTTTAAAATTAGGTGTGAAAACCTGGCTTGGGTGGCTCTCTTGGCTCGAATGACTAATATAAATGACGGCCCGTTTCCAAATTCGGGACAAAAAAAACACTGCTGACGCAACGAACCAACAATCAAAATCACAAATCAACTTACAATCTAGCTTTTCGACATTTTGATAGGATATAACTCCCAGATCTGAAATAAAAATAGACGCGAGTTATGACTTGCATACTAGGATTATCAGTACGAAAACTAAAGCTTCAGGATGTCCAAGGTAAAACAATAAACAATATCGAGAAATACCTTTTTTAATTACAAACCATACCAAGGTAGTTGCAACAACTAAATTGTATCTACCCACAATCAATACTGGCACCAGATTTCCAGATTTTTGGAAAACTAACTTTAGCATACGTAGGATTGGATATACCTGAAGATAGGGTGGTAATGCTAGCTGCAGAGTCACTGCCTTCTCTTGAGTGACTAACAGTGAGGCTGTGTGAACTCTTTTTGCTTCGTCTGAACAAGCTACGTCTTCCTGATAGTTTATGATCATCACCGTGTGCTAGAGCCAGGCTACGATGTAACAGGATCTCCTGCTCAGCCCTAAATACAAAATATGTAACCGTTAAAGAAAGAAATAATACTCTTGGAAATGATACGTGGTCTGAAATGAGAAGAAAGGTAGTTGAAAATGAAAATGGATACAAGTTAAACGAAGAATCTTATTCTCAAGAGAGTGACACGTTGAATAATACGTTGATGAGGGGCCACCCTGTTTTCCACCAGTCCCCCCTCCCAGCTAAAAAATGATCGGTCCCTAATCACTGGTTGCTCGACCAATCACAGTGCTCGAAACCCTATATTCAAGTCTAAAATTTTAACAAAATACAATGATCACTGGTCTAGCTTGGCAAGATTTTTCCAACTTTGTTGCTTAGACTTACTTCATTCTACTGGGTACTATCCCATTTTCTCTTTTCTGTGCGTCTTCTGCACTAACAAGACAGGCTTTCCAGCAGCCAATGTAACCTTGGTAAATAGTGTCAGTTATGTACAAGATGTCCCCTTTCTTGAAGCCTAGCTCTTCTTTGGAGTGTGGAGTGTGGTCGTAAAGGCATCTTAAGATACAACAATAATTATTTCAATGATTTGTGACATAATTAGCTTCGTTACTGAATAAATAATAGTTGGATTATCATTTTAATTGCTAGCGCTGGAATAAACGAAGACACCACTTTCGCATTCGCTGCCGGCATACCACAGACTCTTTTGTAAAAGCTTGGCCTCGTTTATAAGTCAGCTACTTACAGATACCATTTAAAGTCCTTGAATTTCAACACATTGGCATTATTCAACATGCATATACTTTACATTAAAGTTGACTTTTGCAAATGATTTGCTCTTACGTAAGGCTAAACCTGCGCAGATGAGTCTTTAGTCATAAAACAAAGTATTTAACTAATACGAAAAGGGACCATTGACTAACAATGGTTGAACTGAATAAGATTGAAACATACTATCAAATGCCTCATCCTAAAGACATTGACTGCAACCAAATAACACATACCTAACATAGAATGAGTCCCCAGGCTGGTCCTTAATGGAATTGAACCCTGCAACGTAAATTTTTTTTTCATTAAACAAGCTGGCCAGGTCATGGCTACATGGCTACCAACGCTACAGTCGAACGTTTGACCTTATAGTACATGCATGCTACGAACCTCATCGACACGTCAAAAATTTGTCTCGCTACCACGCYCTAATTCGTCTACTGACACGCCTACTTTTGTTGCAGTAGTCGGCTTTCCATCTTTCATGCAGTACGTGTCGCCATAGTTTGGAGAGATCCGTAGTATACAAGTACGAGGTTTATAATGGTAAAAACTTACAAAGTCACACAAAGCAGAGTTATCATCCTGTGTTTACCAGCAAAATTGTCGAAGGGATGAAGATTTGTTCCAGGGCCGGGTATGAATGGCCGTAGCAGAATGTCCCTCATATGTAAGGACCTTGACAAAAATATTTACGATAGAAAACCTTGGCGCATTGAAGATTTAGATCTAGAATACTCACTTGCAGGATTATACTGCACTAGTGCTTGGACAGAACCAGGCGTGGGTTTACAAAGCTCAAGGAGTGCTTGTTCAGCAGTACATGATAACATATCGCATCCGTCGTACTGAAAATATAAACGAAACAAATATATGTTTATACAGTAGATCTAATAGATTGGTTTCACGGTAGGCATGTAGTGTTTAGAAAATCTTTTTATTTTGGCTCTACAACTCGGCAAAAGACAAAGGCCCGCATGGGTGAGCTTCAACAAATCAATAATGCCAAATACATTACTGCAAATTTTCTTAAATATGCCAACTCTGTGTCTCCGAGTTGAACACTGAAATTTGGTTTTTCACTGCCGGCAGTCACAAATATGAAAGGTACCGACTGATAAGGTTTGATCGCAGACAAAGAGTTCGCATGTTTATGAAAATCGCAATAAGCAAGGAATAGTTACTATAACCTTAGTGTGCGTATATCCAGTTCTGAATGCATCAGGGTGGTTGCCGATCAGTAAGGAAGCGTGTTATATCATATCTGTTATAATATTTCATGGAAAATTAGAAGTCCCTTGAATTACTTACCTCAAGAATTTGATCTCCCACACTGAGTTCCTTAGCCACGTCACTGCTAGAGTCAACTTCTGACACGAATATACCAGTAGCATTACCACCAATGATATTAAACCCTAGGTTCGCCGAGGTATGGTTCAGGTACACATAACGAACATCTCCTGGAAGTTCAATATCACTCTGAGGAACAACCTAAAAAATACAAACCAATAATGGGTCAACAATTTTCAATATTATGCGAGGTTGGTAGCTGTATACACTAAATTGAAATATGGCAACAGTCGCTAGTCGGTGCAGAACAATAGATATTCAGATTGGTCGCCATATTTCGATTCAGTGTATAGAGGTTTTGCAGCATCAGGTGTCCAGGCCCATAATACAGCTTGGGATACATGTGTGTAGTTAGATGGCCGAACATTATAAAATCCCTTGGCTCTTGGAAATTGAATTCTTTCTTATGAAAAAAGGTCGTGTTGTTCCTGCCATCTAACAAACCTACTGTGATGGTGGTGCAAAACCTTTATAGGTTGCGCGCTCATCCAGATTTAAGAAGCTTTACGGGCCGCGATACCAGAACCGGAGCTTTATGATAACAATAATCATCCATCTCTGAGATTTTTCGATAAGAATTCATAAATTCGATTCTCCTCTTTCAATAGAAACTGGGGCTTCTCAATTTTACTGAATTTGCGTTTTTCAGTGTTGTGGCCCGTCAAGTTGGATGCGCATGCATCCTTGAGAAAACGGTCTATTGGATTTTTGCAAGAGAATATGTAATCTCC